ACACACACACACACAGACACACACAGACACACCACAGACACACACACACAGACACACACACACACACACACACACACACACACACACACACACACACACACACACACACACACACACACACACACACACACACACACACAGACACACACCTCCTCGTCCTCGTCCTTTCTCCTCACCACATCCCCTTTCCCCTCTGAATTACACCCCGTTTTATTTTCCACTGCCAGGCTGTGCTGTACAAGGGCCGGCCTGAGCGCGTGTGCACCGTGTGTTTTGAAGAGATCCAGGTGTCTGGCGGACCCCCACGGCCCGCAAAGCCCGCAGCCTCCCTGCGCACCGCAACTGTGTCCTCGTCAGTGACGGCCAGGCAGAAGAGGCCGAACGACGACGACGACTCCACATCGGACTCAAGCGACCTGTCAAGGTTCTTGCATGCTGTGCCCGTGTGATGTGACACGTGCCGTGAATGATTGTGGTGCCACGTGCCGTGCTCGTTGGGCATTTGCTCCGCTACGCTCCTTGCGCGTGATTCGCACCCGTAGTGCTCCCTTCCCCGTGCTACGCTTGACATTGAGATGTGCGTCTCACGCCGTCACTGCCGGCCACGCTGCAGCGATGATGAGGCGGCGGATGACGCGAGCACGCAGGCGGTGCGCAGTTTTGTGACATCGACGTCCAAGCCAGTGGCATCACGCCCTGCTCCTGCCCCGCGTAAACCGCTCACAGAGGAGGAGAAGCTCCTGCACACGCTGGTATGGCTGCTGGACGCTGGGGGAGGGTGTCTCTTGGTCGTTTGGTCGTTTTTTGGCTGTGCTGACAAGTGTGGAACGACACACAGCGTGTGTTGTGTTGTGTTGTGTTGTGTTGTGTTGTGTTGTGTTGTGTTGTGTTGTGTTTGTTTGTTTGTTTGTTTGTTTGCTTGCTTGCTTGTTTGCTTGTTTGCTTGCATGTTTCTCTGTGCTTTCGGTGTCATTATTGTCAAGGCGGTGCTCACGTTGTTCCTGCGCTGCTGTTGTGCCAAACCAGAGCAACGAGCAACAAATTGCGGTGATGATGAAGGTCAAGGAAGGCAACATGTCCATCGAAGAAGCCCTCGCTGAGGTAATGTAATGTTGCATTGCGTCGTCTCTCGACATCTTCCCCTGCTGCGTATTTATTGCTCACATGTTGCATGCGCCCATGTTCATGCCTGTGCACTCCACTGGCTCCATGGTAGGCTGGCTTGATGGCGAAGGCGGCTGCCATGAAACCGACACCAAAACCGCAGCAGCGAGAGAAGAAGAATGTCGGTAACAACGACGACGACTCGTACCCATCAACCAGCGACAGCTCAGATGACGAAGAAGGTGACATGCTCGCTGAAATAGTGCAGTTGTGACGGCACAACTGACCTCTTGCCCTGGCGCACTCTGCCCACGCATCTATCCCCCCTCCTTTTGCCTGTCTGATGCCCACGTATTTGTGCCGTTTGATGTGTGTGTGTGTGTGGTTTCAGAAACGCCAAAGCCTTCACGTGCAGCCCCACCGCGTCCGGCCCCATTCCGGCCTGCCCCGCCCGTGAGTTTCGCGGTGTGTGTGTGTGTGTGTGTGTGTGTGTGTGTGTGTATGTGTGCGTGTGTGTGTGTGTGTGTGTGTGTGTGTGTGTGTGTGTGTGTGTGTGTGTGTGTGTGTGTGTGTGTGTGTGTGTGTGCCTCGTCGAACACGTCTGCACGTGCGGGGTGTCACATCACCTCTCTCCTCACGTCGGTTCGCCTCTGCTCTCGCATACGTGTGTGTGTGTGTGTGTGTGTGTGTGTGTGTGTGTGTGTGTGTGTGTGTGTGTGTGTGTGTGTGTGTGTGTGTGTGCAGGAGCCTGCGCCAGTCGCCCCCGCGCGGCGCAAGAAGAAGTCCTCGACAACGGAAGCAGAGACAGTAAAACCACAGCCAGCGCCGCAGGCAGCAGCGGAGAAGGGCGACGACACGAAACAGGAGAGAAAACAGGAGCAGCAGCAACAACAACAACAACAACAGGAGCCCCAGCAGCAACAACAACAGGAACGGCAGCAACAGCAACAGCAGGTCGAGGAGGCGGTGAAGCCGACGCCATCAGCGCGGCGGAAACCACGCAGACAGTTCAAGGCAGTGAGTTTCGCAAAAGCCGTGATATGTGCACACGGGAATGAACTGCATGCAAACCGTTGAATGGAATGCGTGCTCGCACTTGTATTGCCAAACACGACTAACTCTTGTGTATTTATGTGCGCGCGCGTGCACTCTGCAGGACACGCCTGACGATGCGACAGCGACGACGGCACCCGACACGGCAGCTGAAGCTGAGGCAGAACCACAACCACAGGAGCAGGAACATCAGCAGCATCAGCAGCAGCAGCAGCAGCAGCAGCAGCAGCAGCAGCAGGCGGACGGTGGAGCAAAGCCGGTCCCTGCGCGGCGGCGCCGGCGGCCGCAGTTCAAGGCGGAGTCCACCGAAGCGACGCCAGCAGAGACGGAAACTGCTGTCTCAGAACAAGCCAGCGAGCCCGCAGCACCGACTGCCAACGACAATGAAGATGACGACCCAGAGGTGAGCTGGGCGTGTGTGTGTGTGTGTGTGTGTGTGTGTGTGTGTGTGTGTGTGTGTGAACGAGTGTGTGTGTGTGTGTCACAAGTGTGTGTGTGTGTGTCACAAGTGCGTGTGGTTGTCACAAGTGCGTGTGGTTGTGCTTGAGTGTGGTCGTGCAGCTGTTCACGTTTGGTGTGCATGCGCGTGTGTGCAGTTGGCTGCGGCCCGCCAGCGCCGGCTGGAACGCGAGCAGCGGCGGCAGCAACGAAAACAGCAGGAAGAGCAGGGCCAGACGGGCAACAACGACGATGTTGCCGAGACGCCCGAAGACGAGCAGCAGGAACAGCAGCAGCAGCAGCAGCAGGAACAGGAACAGGAACAGGAACAAGAACAGCCGCAGGAACAACAGGAACAACAGCAGCAGCAAGTTGCGGCCGAGGAGGGTGCAGTTGCGGAGGCTGAGGCCAGCGTGGAGGCCATGCAAGTGGGCGATGCAGCGTCGAGCGCTCGACCAGAGAAGCCGCGCAGGCGCAGGAGGCAGTTCAAGTGATGGTGGCAGTAGCGGCTGCATTGACAGTGCGGGGGGGGGGGAGGTGCTCACAGGCTGTTACCTTTTTTTTTTTTTTTTTTTTTTTTGTGTGTGTTTGTGTGTGGTGAGTGTGGGTGTGGCGAGTCTTTCCTTCCGAATGTTTGTACGGCAATGCTTTTTGTTTCATGTGATGCCAGTTGTGTGGTGTTGTTGAGTCAATCAGTTTATTGACAATTACACGTGGTTGAACCGCACTCGCGGCCCTGTCCAGCCCAGCAATCCTATCAAACACACACACACACACATATCCACATATCCACATGCCACATGTGCTATGCTGGCGGCAACATGTAGGATTGCTGCAGCTGCTGCTGGAGGGCGGGGACGGCGTTAGCGGCCATCGCCCCGCGCACCGAGCGGAAGAAGCGCTGGAACGTGTGCAGGTTGTGTCTGAGGGAGAGAGGGAGCGGCGGGGTTGGGGTTGGGGGGCGTGTGAGGTCGTGTGAGGTGGAGGCACAGCGCTTGCTCCCTTGATTTCCTGACGACACCAACCTCCTCCCTCCCCCAACACTCACACACACACACACACACACACACACACTCACACACTCACACACACACACACACACACACACACACACACACACACACACACACACACACACACACACACACACACACAAACACGCGTGCACAAACATACAAACACGCGCGTATTGTCGTTTCTTTTGCCATTGTCCCCCCCCCCCACTCCCGCTCTTCCAATTGCAGGTGCCATACACGTCCGTCTCTGTGCGCGAGGGAAAGACTGCCATCAACAAGATTCGGTGCGCTTTGCCCGCCCTTGCTTCGCACTTGTTGTTCATGCGTGCTGACGTGTGATGGTTTGTTCTTTGACCTCAGCGCAAACACCGACATCGCAAACAAGTCCACACATCCCTTCGACTGGCCTTGACCATATCTCACGTCCCACCCTCTCTCACCCCTCCCGCCCCTCTCACCTCCCGCCCCTCTCCCCTCACACACCGTGGCAGCTGGAACCATGCGGGTAACATGATTGCTGCCGGCGACGCCGACGGATACGTCTCCGTCTACGACCTGCGCGAGGTGCGCAGCCTTTTCTCTGCTCGTGCCTTCGTGTCTGTGTGTGTGTGTGTGTCTTTGTCTCTGTGTGTGTGTGTCTATGTGTCTGTGTCTGTGTGTCTATGTGTGTGTGTGTGTGTGTGTGTGTGTGTGTGTGTGTCTGTGTGTGTCTGCTTTTGCCCGTATTGTATTCGTGACGTTGTTGTGTTCGTCGCTTCAAGACACCCTCCTCCCCCGTCTCTCCTCACTCGAATCACACGCCCACACGTTCACCCAATCACCATTGCAGCGTCTGAGTGCGCCCAGCAACGATGCCAGCTTGCAGCTGCGGGATGTCCTGGCAGATATGCAGGCCAACCAGTCAGAAGCCGAGCGCCAGGCCCCATGAACTCAAGTCGCTCTTCCTTCCCTTCCCCTTGTGTTCCTTGCCACGTATCCCATCGTCCTTGTTGTTCGTGTGCATGTATTGTCATGTTGTTTTTGCTCCGCCGTCGCATCTCTCCTTGTCTTGTCGTGTCAGCCGTGTTCCCCCCAACATAACACAACACACCACACCAATCCACAGCCATGCATGCATGAGTACATTGCTGCGCTTGCTGCAGCTGCCTCGCTTGTTGTGTGTCTTCATTACAGAATTTTACTGTAAATCTTGCACCAATTGTCCACCCGCATGTTGTCTTTTTCGCTCTCTCTCTTGCTCTGCACACACACACGACCGACCTTGCACAAAGAACCCAAGACCACCACCGCAATGAGCGACGTCGTGCCCACCAACCCTTCCACCTGGCCTCGCTGGCTGCAGATCACCGCGGCAGCAGCAGGCGTGGGGGCTGTTGCCACCGCTGCGTATGTGGTGCTCAAGCGGCCTGATCTCTCGTCCAAGGAACTCAGCGGCGGCGCCACCACCGCCCGTTCTGCACCAACCACGTGCGTGTCTCGTGCGGTCGTGGTCATGGTTGTGTCCTTGCAACAGGCTGCAAGTCGTGATGTGTGTGTGTGTGTGCGCACGTGTGTATGTGTGCGCGCACGTGTGTGTGTGTGTACATGTGTACATGGTTGTGCGTGTGTGTGTGTGTGTATGTGTGTCAACGTATGTGTGTGTGTGTGTGTCAACGTGTGTCGCCTGCTTCTGACGACTGCTCATGCCATGTCCTATTGCCTGCCGTCGCTGGGAGTAGAACGACCACTGCTGCCCCACAGACAAGGGGTACTGCCCAGCCAGTCACTTCCACACCAACCTCGGATGCAGAACAAGCCGCAGATGAGGAGCGCTCGGTGAGCTGTCTGTGTGCGTGTGCATGTGTGAGTGTGTGTGAATGTGTGCGTGTGTGTGAATGTGTGTGTGTGTGTGTGAGTGAGCAGCCTTGTGTTGTTCCTCGGTCACCATCTGCATCGCTGCCCCGTCTCACCGCTTCCTCTCCCCTGCTTGTTCTGTGCACTCGCTCCCCTGTTGCTGCTGTTCCTGTGGTTGCTGCGGTTACACTGTGTGTTGTGCCACCACGTTTTACCAGGCGCTGAAAGCAAAGGCCAATGCGTTCCGCAAGAAGGGCAACGAGGCGTACAAGGCGCGCCGCTTTGACGACGCCATCAACGCATACACCAAGGCGCTGGAGACAGCCCCTGTTGTGGACGAGGACTGTGCCGTGTACTACTGCAACCGCGCCGCCTGCTACCTCTTCCAGGTCTGCATGCCTACGCCTTGCGGCATTGCGAATCACTCGTGGCGTGCACTGCATCCTCGGTATTGCGGATAACACTGCACAGTCTCTTCGCCGCTTCTTCCTCTCCTCTGCCTTTTGCACGGCTATTGCATGCGAGCGTGTGGGTGCGTGTGTGCGTGTGTGCGTGTGTGCGTGTGTTCGGCTTTTTGCTTCGCACAAGTATTTGTCATCTGTTGCATCGCCCACGCACCCTCTTCTCCCACAACACACACACACACACACACATGCCCTCGCCTCTGTTGACGTCTGCACCTGCCAACACCTCGCACGCCATGCTTGCCGTACACGATGTGAGCAGAAGAAGTACGACAAGGTGATTGAGGACTGCACGGCTGCGCTGCGCCTGCGCCCGCTGTACACCAAGGCCCTCAACCGCCGCGCCCAGGCGTATGAGAACAAGAGCAAGTTCCGCAGCGCCCTCAAGGACTTCACCACCATCCTGCTCATTGACAAGTTCCAGAACGAGGCTGCGAGCAAGGCTGTTGAGCGGCTGCTGGAGATGCTTGGCCGCCGCGGCGCCGCCAAGTACCTCGAGACAAAACCAAAGCAGCTGCCGGCCCGCAAGGTCATGGTCAGCTTCTTTGACAACTTTGGACCCACCACCTTTGGCCCTGAGGAGACGGGAAGCGTGGAGGAGCTGAAGCAGCAGCTGCAGGAGAAACCAGGCAACGGCGACATCCTCGCCCACCTCTGCAAGGTGCAGAAACCAATTTGGAGTTGGGATTGTGCATGGATACACACGTGTGTGTGTGTGTGTGTGTGTGTGTGTGTGTGTGTGTGTGTGTGCGTGTGTGTGTGTGTGTGTGTGTGTGTACGCGCGCGCGTTCTTTTGTTTGTGTATGTGTGCGTTCTTTTGTTTGTGTATGTGTGCATTCTTTTGGGTGTGGGTGTGTGTTCTTTTGTGCGTGTTTTTGCGTACGTCTGTACGCACGCGCTTGTCTTTTTGCGTGTGCGGTTTGTATGCCGTGCTCGTTGCAAGCTCTAACCGGACGCAAACACGATCCCTATGCACACTGCTGCGTGTGGTATCGCAATGCAGGCGCATCTGCGGGATCAGGACTTTGAGGCCGCGTACGAGACGTGCAAGACTGCCGTCGACGCTCTCCAAGGTTGGTGCCCACAATGGTGACGCACACTCCCTTGATGTGCTCTGTGCATGTGTGTAGTCTTCTCTGTTTTGTATTCGCTTGTTTCTTGCTTGCGCTCATCAGTCTCTGTACACTTTGTGTATGTGTGTGTGTGTATGTGCATGTGTGCGGTGACCAGAGATGAAGCTTGAGAACGGCCGGAAGGAGACGCTGGTCAGCGCCATGAACATCCTCGGTTCCTTCCAGATGCTTCGGCTCGAGCTCCAGGAGGTGCCAACCCCGAATGTGCATGTGAATCTGCGTGTGTGTCATGGTGCATGAGTGGGTGCTTTTGTGGCTGTGTATCTGTGTGTGCTGCAAGTTGTGCTTGTGCGCTGTTGTTTTGGTAACTGCCCCAAGCCACGCCGTGTCTTTACGCCAAGGCTCGTCTCAACCTTGCCCTCCCCACAACATCCACCAATCCCAGGCTGAGCGTACCTTCTCTGAGGCGCTTCGCTTCAACAAGCGCAACGCCAACACGCTCATCCGGCTTGCCGCCTGCCGCCTTGAGCTCGGCCGCACCAGCGAGGCCCTCACAGACTTCACCACCGCCCAGCGCCTCGACGACAAGAACCCAGACGTCTACTTCCACAAGGCCCAGGTGCAGTTTCACACGACGAATTTGGGGGGCGGGGGAGAGGGGGCTGCGTGTGTGTATGTATGTGTCTGTGTGTGTGTGTGTGTGTGTGTGTGTGTGTGTGTGTGCGTGTGTGTATGTGTGTGCTGTGTGTGTGTGTGTGTGTGTCGTGTGTGCCTGCGGTGCTGCGCGAGATCTACTGCCGGGGACAACGTTGCACTTGTTTTGTTTTTTTTTTCTCACGTCCATCTCGGCGACTCATGTTTGGTTCAGGCGCACATCAGCATGGGCGCAGCCGTCATGGCGTTCTCCGATCTCCAACGCGCCATCAAACTCGGCACAAAGTGAGCTGTTCAGTATGTTCACGCTCGCACGATGAACACACGCACACGTACATGTCCACATTCTCACTCGCATCCGCACCCAGACACGCACGCACACATGCACATACGTGCACAACCCCCTATTTCTCTCACATCTCACCCCTCCCCACCTGACTGCTGCTGGTGCTTTAATCCTTCAAGGGTGTACGGCCCCTATGTCCACCTCGCTCTCCTCCACCTGCAGACACAGGACGCGAAGTCCGCCATCGATCTCATGCAGGAGGTGCGCGCTGCCACCATGTTTGTTTGTGTGTGTGTGTGTGTGTGTGTGTGTGTGTGTGTGTGTGTGTGTGTGTGTGTGTGTGTGTGTGTGTGTGTGTGTGTGTGTGTGCGTGTGCGTGCGTGCGTGCGTGCGTGTGCGTGTGTGTGTATGTGTGTGTGTGCTTGTGTGGTTTTGAGTGACTCATCAACTTTATCGCATCACCTCCAACGCGCAGGCTGTGACCAAGTTCCCTGAGGTGTCCACCGTCCACTCCTACCTCGGCGAGGTATTTTTTATTTTATTTTTTTGCAGCGCACCCGACCACTGCACATCATTTTTCCCCTGCATGTGTTTCGCGTATGTGTTGCGCATGCGCTGGCACCATGCGACATGCCACCATGCGCGTCCTCATCGCCCATCGCCTTCCGCCCTGAAATGCACTGCGTTTCTCGTTAGATCTACTCTGCTGTTGGTGACAACGACAAGGCCGTCGAGTGCTTTGACAAGGCCATCTCCCTTGACCCGCACAACGCCAACCCTTACGTGCACAAGGTTCAGCTTTACCGCTGCTCTGTGTGTGTGCGTGTGCGTGTGTGTGTTTGTGTGTGCGTCCACCTGTGTCCACCTATGCCGCCTCCCAACCTGCGCCCATGTCCGTTGTTCGTGCCTGATTGTACTGTCGCTTGGACTGGTTTTCTGTGTGCAGGGTCTGGTGTTTGTGCAGCAGGGCAACATGGAGCAGGGCATTGAGCTCATCCACAAGGCCATCGAGGTTGACGACGCCTGCGAATCCGTGAGTGCTTTCAACACCTTTGTTGTGTGTGTGTGTGTGTGTGTGCGTGTGTGTGTGTGTGTGCGCGCGCACGTGTGTTGTCTTTGCGTTGATTGCATGATTTTGTGACGTACCTCAACCCTGACCCACGTTTCACACGGTGATGACATGTCATCTTCCTCCTCCTCCACAACAACAACAACAACAACAACAACAACAACAACAACAACAACAACAACAACAACAACAACAACAACAACAACAACAACAACAACAACAACAACAACAACAACAACAACAACACAGGCGTACGCGCGCCTCGCACAGATCCACGTGCAGCGCGAGGAGTATGAGGAGGCCCTCAAGTGCTACGATAAGGTGCCGTGCATGCACGCGTGTGTGACATCGCTGTGTCCAGGCCACGCCCACGGCCTCAGTTGTTTTGTTTTATTGTAGGTGTAGCCTCAGTGCCCAGTCTTACCAGCTCTCACCCATGCGCACGCGCACACATTTTGTGGATGCACATGCACGCAGGCGATTGCTGCGACGCACGCTGGGCAGGAGCTGGTTGCGTTCTTCTCGTGCAAGGAGGCGTGTGTTGCACAGCAGGCCGTGGTCAAGGCCCATCCTGAACTGCGCCCCACCGAAGTGCAGAACATGTAACTGCGTATCACACTTGACACACACCACACAAACACAATCACAAACACAAACCTCACACCACACACACACAAGTCTAGTTCCAGACGTTCCTTTGACAAGACACTTTGTTGGTCCTCGTTGCTCCTCCGTTCCTTATTGTCCCCATGACCCAGAAGAAGAACAAGGAAGGAAGGAAGGAAGACAGTGGGGAAGGAAGACAGTTGTCGTGAGTGGGTGAGGGAGGGTAGACAATAGCGAAGGTGGGTGGTGTGCATGTGTGACATGACACAACACAGAAAAAATAGGACAACAGCGAATTTCGCTCTTTTGTGCTGACGCGGACAATGATGATGAGGTTGCAGTCAGTGAGGTGGTGGTGGTGGCGAGTTGCTGTGGTTGCTGGCCTGCTTTCTGCGGTGAGCTTTGTCGACACAGCCAGTGGCACAGAGGGCGATGATGTGCTTGGGTGCGGAGGCGCAGTTCTGTCACCGACGCCGATCAACTTTGCAGCCGTGGAGGTCAGTGCAAGCAACGAGTGCGACTGATTGTGCTTTGGTGGTGGCGCAGTGCAGTAGGACGCTGTTGGTGGTCTTGCAAGCAGAGCAGGTCTGACGCACAAGGCTTCCTGCTGCTTGTCTGGCTGCAGGTTGTATTGCTTCAGGATGGAGAGGAGCTACAACGCACTGAGTGCGCCCCACACAATGGCTATTACTTTCTTCCCATCGACAAACCCGTCAGTGTGTATGCTTGTGTGTGTGTGTGTGTGTGTGTGTGTGTGTGTGTGTGTGTGTGTGTGTGTGTGTGTGTGTGTATGTGTGTATGTGTGTATGTGTGTATGTGTGTAGTGTGTGTATGTGTGTGTGTGCGTGTGTG